TTTGGTGTTTTTTTGAATTATTTAAAAAAAATTTAAGTCTAATTTTACTAATTTTTGGCTCATTTCCAAAATAAAATTTCTTTATGAAAGATTATAATATTATAAACTTTAATTACATAAATAAATACTACATTTAATCTAGTTTTAGAATATGGAAAGAAACGATTATGTTTATTTGGTGTTTTTTGAGTTATTTTGAAAAATTTGAAGTCAAATCTTGCTACTTTTTGGCTCATTTTCAAAATATTTTTTTTTTATGAAATATTATAATATTCAAAACTTTAATTACATAAATACAACATTTAATCTAGTTTTAGAATATAGAAAGAAACGATTATATTTATTTGGTGTTTTTGGAATTATTTAAAAAAAAAATGAAGTCAAATCTTGCTAATTTTTGGCTCATTTTCAAAATTAAATTTCTTTATGAAATATTATAATATTACAAATTTTAATTTCATAAATAAATACTACATTTAATCTAGTTATAGAATAGAAAAATTTCGAATAAAATAAAAGAGAGCGCAAATACAATTGGGGGAGGGTATAAACGCAAAGCACGCTTCGATTATTATTATTAATATTTTCGTTATATTCTTTATGGCGCGTGGGGTGCGAATGGTTTATTGATGATAATTAGGTTGATTCTGAATAGAACCACACCTACTACGGTTTCTTTTTGGGGTAAAAACTGTGCTTTTTTAGGTTTTTTTTTTTATTTGGGGTAAAGAGGGGTGAAAAATCTATTATTTGGCTGCATAATGCGGCGATGGGATCGGGGGGTGTAACGCAAAGTTTCTTTCTATTTCTATTATTAATATATAGTTTTTTTTTTTTTTGCTTTTTTTTGGTTTGTCACTGTACTTATTTATTCTTTTGCGCTGTGAAAGGGCTGCGAGGAGGACCACGTGGTAAACATCAAAAGGCATTTAAATGGAAAAGCGTAACGTTGAACGTGTAACGTTAATCGGTTATTAAATCGACGCCATGTTATGGAATATAATATAGCCGCAGTAAATCTGTCAAGATCGGTTTTTCGGTGCGGAGGCGGCTATGGAAAAGGAAGGAGTGGGAGGTTGTAGGTGGCGCGTTTGTCAGTGAGGGGTGGGGGCGCGCGTTCGCCGCCGCCGCCTCCCGGATATTTTTAAGTTAATTGGATTTGAAAGGCGCATTTCCACTTTTACGATTTTTCCGCAGTTGATGTCGGGATAATTAAATTTTTAAATCATTTTTCACCCCCGCGGACGTCGCAGCAGCAGCCGCCGCCTCCATATACCACCACCACCACCATCACCCTCCCACCGTCAGTTTCCCCCGCGGCCGTCAAACTCTTTATAATTTCATTATTTAAAAACGCGGAGGCGAATCGCATTTGCCCAGACGCCAGAAGACAATTGCATCGCGAATTTTCTTTCTTTCTTTGTTTTTTTTTTCGAGAGAGAGAGAAGCATTGTTCGCTTTTTTCCACGGCGTACAAAAATAATTACTTTGAGAAATAAAAAAAATACAGAAAGAGAGCTTCAGCGTTAATTAATTCATTTGTAGTAGTAATTAAACGAAAATTTTCCGGCACACGAAAAGCTTCTTTCTTTTCTTCAAATCAATCGAAATTCCAATTTGATGTATTGGTTAAATTACAACTTTAATTCATTTGTTAACTTGACATTAAGTTATATAAGATTATATAGAAAAACAAATTGTCATAAAAGTAACGTTACTATTTCGATAAATCGCCAAAAGAAATCGGAAATAATTACAAATATGATAGATTGCACATTAGAAAGCCCAAACATTCAGCTTCAATTTACGTGCTCATTCATAATTGTGCAGTATATAGTTATTGAGAAAATTGATGATTTTTGCAGATACTAGATTTTTCGAGATTATTCAAGTTTGACTTTAAATTATAGAAAATCGGCAACAGTTACAACTATGACAAATGGCACATTAGAAAGCCCAATTATTTAGCTTCAATTTACGTCCTCATTCATAATTGTGCCTTATATAGT